TTCAGTGAGGATAAGAGTACTGCTGGAAAAATGACTCTCAGATACCCATCAAGTCTCTGAGAGGACCAAGGACCAGAGAAGTGAAGTAACTAAGCACAGAGGACTCACCACCTGCATGTCACCAAGACCTCTGGGAAGACATCCTCCAGGGGACATCTCCTCCTTGACAGTAATTTAATGGAACAAAGAGCCATTTCTTTTTCTAGCCTTTCCTAACATCCAGCTTTGTTCTAAACTATCCCTGACCCACCCTTCCCACAGAATACACCAGGTTATTAAAACCCAGCAGACCCAACTCTGTCTTGTCTATTAGCTCATTAGCTACCTCCAGCCTCTAGTCTTCTTAAAAGTTTTTTAATTGACTGATTTTAGAGAAAGAAAAATAATTGTTGTTGCATTTTATTTATGTATTCAGTGGTTAATCTGTGTATGTGCCCTGACTGAGGATTGAACCCATGACCTTGGTGTGTCGGGACGACACTAACCAACTGGGCTACCTGGCCAGGGCCAGCCCCTAGTCCTCTGCATTTGCTTTCCCTTCACCTGGGATATTTCACCCTTATATTTCAGACAAGCTGAGATGTCAGATTCCCTGGGAAATTTTCCTCAAACCACACATCATATTCCAGTCCAACCAAACCTACTGGATAGGCCCTTAGCTCCTTACTGCCTACTTCCTCTATGATGACACTCTTCACACCAGAGCGCAAAAGCACAGTTTTGTCACCCATCTTAAACAGCATCTTCACCCAGGTGCTTAGCATGTAACCAACAAATCTTTGTTGAACAAATGAGTAAGTAACCTTGGGTACGAGGCCTCACCTCCGCGAACGAACATGGTAGCTGTCTTCCCGTCGATGCCGTCGTGTCCGGTCACTGCTACTTGACCAGGAGCGGCTTCTTCGTCTCTTATGCTTTCGGCTTCGATAGTGTTCAAGATAACTCCCCCGGCTGCCTCGTTCTGAGGAGTGGTACCTTCGGGGATGAGGCATCTAGAAGGGAAGAAAAAGCAGAAATGGTGGGAAAAGCTCTGAGTTTTTAGACATCTCCTTCAAGGACTGGTTGCTCCAGAGGTGCTAGGCTGCTTTCTTTTATTTCTTTTCACCACCTCTGTGCTTACAATTCCTCCTTAACGGAGTATATATAGTATTCACCTAGTAATTCAGGCTGAAAACTAGAAAGTCTCCCCATAACTCCCTTAATCCCTTAATTACACCCCACTCAGCATCAGCACTTTGTTCTACTCTGATTTCCTCAAACATGTCTTCATAAAGACCTTCAGGTCTGGACCACAGCTCATTACAGGTGAGAAGGTGTAACTGATGGAGAATGCCGCAATTCTTCCTTCACTGAGATCTAAGATCTGTGTCATGCTGAGTTCCTCACAACTCAAAGAATAAATAAAGCATTAGTACACACTGTTATGAGAAATGTTTTACAGTTATTGAGAGTGTCTTATTTCCCCAAGTAAACCAACTGTGTCCTGAGGGCATGAATCCCATCGACCAGGTTTCTACATAAGCAGTATATACCAAATATAAACAAATTCTAGGGGTCTGGGTCTGACCCCTTCAACTGTCTTAATCATCTCTCACATCTCTGGTTAAACACCCCTTGAGAGATTTTAACAGAGGGAGGGTCCCAAGTTCTCAGCTTTCCATCTGGCCCCTCCCCTTTTGTGCTTAGGAAGTACAGAACAACTAGTTTTTAATTAATATCAGCACTACTTGGATAAGAGCCAGCCTCCTTCCAGTAATTGGAATGGCATGGTGCACAAATCTTTCTTCCTTAAGGAAAAGATCAGAGAGAAATCACTGTCAAAATCCAGGAAGACAAGAATAGGAGAATGAAATGAAATAGGCCTAAGGACAGAAGACACAGTAGGGCGCAAGATTAGGTCTGGAAAAGACAATGTCTCAAAAATTTGGCTCCCACTCTGAGCTACTTCTGTCCAATGTCCTCAAATTGAGAAGGGGGATATTTGATTCAGTCCTGGCTTAACAGGGCTTATAGGAAGCCAAAGAGATGCAAGCACAGATTCTCCCAGGTAATTCAACATTGCTTAGCCATTTAAATGTCGTCATCTCACTCACCACACAGACACTGCCACCAAAGTTCCTCAGAGAACTTCCCCTATAAAGTATCTCCAGCCTACAACCTTTCTCAACTTCTAAATCTTTATTATTTTTTAAGATTTTGTTTATTTTTAGAGAGAAGAAGAGAGGAAGACAGGGAGAGAAACATCAATGTCTGGTTGCCTCTTACAACCCCCTCCCCCACTGAAGACCTGACCCGCATCGCGGGCATGTTGCCCCCTGACTGGGACTCTAACCCGCCACCCTTTGGTTAGCAGGCTGGCACTCAACCCACTGAGCCATACCAGCCAGGGCTAAATCTTTATTTTACTTTCTTAGTCGGAATATCCAGAACTAATTTCTGGAGTCAAACTCTTTCCGTATCCTTTAAATGACACCGTGGTGTCTTCCCTCTTTTCAGCCTTGGTCCGACTTTGACATTCTGCTCTTTCTCATCTTTGGAACCACTGCTATCCCTACTCCATCACCCTACTTTGGTCCCTCCCAAGTTTCCCATTGGTCTTTCCAGATCACCTAAGGCAAGTTGATCTTCCACCCTCTCTACTCACTTCTGCTGCTTCGCGGGTCTCAACCCTCTTCCTCTCCTAATCTAGCCCCGGTCCCTTGCCCCCAATATAAGCCTACCCCCCCGCCCAGCGGTCGCCATCTTTCCGCGCGGACGCGCGGCCCGCCGACCCGCGCGCTCACCGTTCTGGCGGCGAGGCCCGTGCGCTTGTCCCACAGGAAGTCCGTGATGGCGGCGGCACTGCGGCCGGGAGTCCCGGCACCCCCGCGGCGACGAAGTGCGGCTTCACCCACCCCCAACCCAAGACCCTGGGACCTCCCGCCTCGTTCCCGGGCTCCGCTCCAGTCCCGCCCGCCCCGGCTCCGTCCCCGCCCCGAGGATCCGCTGGGCGCCGCTCGCACCGCCCCCGCCCGGGGCCCGATCCCAGCTGGTTCTTCGGCTCTTGCCTCTCCGCTCCGCCGCCGCCACCGTGAGCGAGCACGTACGCACGCACGTCCTGCGTGGCTTCCCAGTTACCCCGGGGCCCCGCCCCCAGGGCCGCGCACGCCGCTGCGTCCTCACCTAGCTCCCGGGCAGGCATCCGCAGCTAGAACCGTGGAGGCGCTGAGGTTGAAAGTTCGTTCGCACTGTGGGAGAATCGTTGTGGCTTACCAGGCCCTCCTCGTGTTCATCCCTATCTCTCTTAAATCTTTTGTCCCTTTTATGAAACTTCGCTGGCTTAATTAGGTTTGGAGATTTAAAAGCACGGTTGTTCCCTGGTCAGGTGGCTCACTTGGTTAGAATGTCTTTTCTTTTTACCAAAAGGTTGCAGATTCTGTTCCCGATTGGGGTACATACCCAGTAGGCCGCGGGCGGGAGGGAGGCAACCCATTAATGTTTCTCACATCGATGTTTCTCCCTTCCTCTTTAAAATCAATGACATATCCTCTGGTGAGGATTGACTAACTAACTAACTAACTAACTAACTAACTAACTAACTAACTAACTAACTGTTACTTAGGGAGTGTTGACGCTCCGCAAACGTTTGAGGCTTGGTGGTGAGGTCTGATTCTCCGACATAGCTTGTAAATATCCAGTTCTTATAATTTGGCTACCTCACCACAGCAAAGAGACTTCCGTCTTGTGGAGTTGGGAGCCTAGTCTTGAAGGAAAATTTGTGGAAATGGAGGGATGGATAATCGAGTGCCGAAAAAGAGGAAATCACTGAGAACTATTATTTACTTACACATGAGAAGTGTAAGTATACTGAATTTAAAAAAAAATTAAGATCAGGAGACCTTGAGACAAACTGGCAGTCACAGACGCTATAGAAGGAATTGAGAAATAGAAAGGGAAATAAAAACCTGAGGATAACTATATTAAAGTCAGTATCAGAGGGGAACTGGGATGGAGGATTGTCAGATGGAAATTAGATCAGCCAGAAATCGTTTAGGAAAAGTTCCTTAAAATAGAAGAGAAAGTGTAATTAAGGGCTGAAAGAACAGAATGGCAAATTCACTTCCTCCTCCAAGATCAACTTTCCCGGATCATTCGTTCTTTCAACAAGCATTTAACTGAGTGTCCAATATGTGTCCAGCGTTGTGCCAGAAGCAAGGCTCCTGTTCTTCAGAGCTTCACAGTCTAATGGGAGAAAAACACCTGTCAATGGATAAATGGCAGCCTTGCGACAAGAGTGGTTACAAACAGTGGTAACCTGGACACTGTTGGAAAGGTCTAAACTAGACCCTATCTGGGGAAAGGAAGTTTTGAAATATGTCTCTAGGTTTCCTAGAGGAAATGAGATCTGAACCAACTATTGTATTCTCATCATCTACTCAGTGACTAGCAGACTCACATTTGGTGAAGTTTGGCAGAAAGAATTCAGAAAGTGAAATACCAGGGAGAGCAGTATAGAGAACAGAATAAAGGACTATGCCTCGAGAGGACTGAGAGTAAGAAAGTGGAATGCAGGGTAGTTCAAAAGCGAGAGTGAGGAAGACGAATGAATCTCCAAAGCCCCTTCCATTGGTATCTAATCCCTTGCTCTCCTTAGCCATACGAGCTACAACCTGAGCCTGGTTTTCCCGCCACTTGCAGGCGGTGTCACCTTCCTGGAGCTCAGGGAATAAAGCCGTTAGCTCTAGGCCACACCCTCTCCGTGGCTCCTCCGACGTTTCCCCTTCTCCAATTACACTCGGAGAACCCCCTCTATTCAGTAAACCACGCCTGTCTTGGAGTTCCCCCGTAAGATCGACTTAATTGGCCCCGCCCCTCGAGGGCTGGCTCTCGGACGGCCCCGCCCCCGAATGCTCGGCTCAGCTTTCCCGCGGACCTCACCAGGGGGCGCAGCGCTACCCGCTCACAGCTGGCGGGAGAGTCTGTCCCCAACACCCCTTCTGACCCAGGCGCCGGCAGTTCCCAGCCGACTACGCCAGCTCTGACTGTAGGAGAGTCCAGGGGGTCCAGGATGGCCGCGACAGGGTCTAGGAGGCCAAGAGTATAAGCGGTGGGGCATCATGCAGGCGGAGCCGCGGCCGATGATGGGGGCCAGCGACGGGGTGACCCTTGGGCTGGAGGCGGGGCCTCCTGCTACCCCGGTGCCTGCCACTGCCACCGCGGGACAGATCCCCGGGTCCTCATCTGGACCCGAACCCAAGAGGAGGCAGCTTGGGACACTGCTCCAGCCCACGGTCAACAAGTTCTCCCTTCGCGTGTTCGGCAGCCACAAAGCAGTGGAAATCGAGCAAGAGCGGGTCAAGTCAGCGGGGGCCTGGATCATCCACCCCTACAGCGACTTCCGGTACTGGGGGCTGAGCAGGGAGGGTGGGGGACACAGATCCCATCCCCACAGCCGCGACCCGCGGACTGGACCCGCCCTACCTTCCACAGTCATTTCATTTCCGGCCCAGGGGTCCCCGGGTGGGATTAAAGAGTCACTTCCTCCAACCTAGCCTGAGAATTCTGAGTGACTTCTCAGGTTGGGAGCGCCGGAAGAAACAAGCAGACCCCGGAGACCTGGATTTCCCGTTTCAGGACCCCAGCACCCCAGCACCCCAGCACCCCACCTGGGCTACGGGGATTACTGGAATTAGGGATCCTTGCCTCCTCTAGTACTTTTTGCTAGATATCTGGGCAATTATGTCATATTCCAAGGCTTAGGGTCAGTCTAAAGGGAGAATCCGAGCTCAGCTATTTTTCCCCTGACCCCCCACTTCCATCCTCAGCACCTGCCTAGTTCAGCAGGGCAGGCTACTAGGAAAACCAGGGACGCTGTTGGAGGGGTGGCGGGGGTGTACAAACAGTTCTGGTAGCTGTCCCTGGTGCTGAAGTCAGGATGTGGTAGAGCAGTGCTGGGACTCACAGCGAATGGGGCAGCAACACAGGGGGCATGGCCACCACCGGAGAGAAGGAAGAGGGTGGGGGCGGGGCCATTTCATGGTCCCCGTCTAGCTGTACCTTTACATCAAGGGCACTAGGGGAGGACAGCAGCCCTGTCCTTGCGGGAAATGAAGGACAGCTATTGGATGAGGTGAGGATGTGTGCAAAGCACCTAACCTGGGAAGCAAAATGAGCCGAAAGGCTGAAGTGTGAATCAGGAGTCTGGAAACACAGTTGGAGACGAAGACATCATCTTGATTCCACAGTCATACACATTGCTTATATGTTCCTTTCTCCCGCTCCCATCTTCTTTACTGCCTCATTCTCACCCCACCTTGCACCCTTTCTAGGCTCTTGTGGTTCTCCCTCTCTTCTCCAGTTTGACCTTCAGATGTATCGCCAGAAGCAGTGTCTCCTCTTTATTATTGTGCTTCTTTTCTGTTCTCTCTGCTGCATCACCCACCAGGCTTGTGACCGTCTGTGGGTCAGGCAGTGAGGATGCTCTATGGCTAAGCGAAACCTCTTTCTCCTCCCCCAGTTCATGGTATAGGATTTCTCCAGTGGCTTAGGAGGGAGTGGGAGAGGGGGTCGAGGATTGTTGTTGATCGAAAGCACACAGTCTAAGATACTGCCTGGAGACTTGAACTTGGGGGCTGCCAAGCTTCTTTCAGTGGCTAAAATAATTGATTTTGCGGTCAGAGTCAGAAGAAGTTGGGTCCTAGGTAGATGTTGTGATTAAGTGTGTCCCAGAGTTAAAACTATCATTGCTCATTGCAACTCTCAGACTGTCCAGTGATTTTTTTAAATGGGGGCTTCACCTATCTTCCTCTGACCTCTTCTTCCTACAGCTTTCACTACAGCATTGTGGCTCTCCCCTACCCATGTCCTTGCTTAGGCTCAGCTAGAGTCTCAGTGGACTCAAGGAGGTTAGGGGAGGAAAGGACTGCAGTGCTTCAAGCCCCGTTCCTTCAAGATCACCTATGCAGCTTCTCTGTATGTGCAGCCCTGTCTGAGGTGCTGTGGAGGGGGAGGGGCATCCTCAAAAAGCTCAGTTCAGTTGGAGGCAGGAGAGTTCATCTCCACTCTGAGACACAGATGAGCAGATCCCAGCAGAGAAACAGGAACCATGGGTCCAACTGTGTTGAGGAGGAGAGTTGGGGTGGGGAAGGCTGGGAAAAGCGTGAAATCCCAGACCACCAGGGGGAAGATAGCTGGGAGAAGCTTCAACCTCTTCAGAAATCTTAGGATAAAAAGTGGTGAGTCATAACACAAACTAGTGCTTGTATAGCACTTTCACATCCATTGTCTCAGTGCATGTTTTTTAAAAGACTTTATTTATTTATTTTTAGAGACAGGGGAAGGGAGGGAGAAAGAGAGGGAGAGAAACATCAATGTGTGGTTGCCTCTCGTGTGCCCAGCACTGGGAACCTGGCCTGCAGCCCAGGCATGTGCCCTGACTGGGAATCAAACTGGCAACCCTTTGGTTCACAGGGCGGCACTTAGTCCGCTGAACTGCACCAGCCAGTGCATATTTTTTACAACAACCCTGTAAGGTTAGCACAGGGTAGTTTATCTTTATTTTTAACTTTAAAAATATTTCATAATAGTGACATAGATCATATACACATATACACATATACACATATATATACTAAAGGTGCTGCATATATATTATATACGGGGTAGGGCAAAATGTAGGTTTCCAGTTGTGAGTACAAGAAATAGTTTATTCTTGTATTATTATTTATTAATTATTGCATTGTTTTCCATATAAACAACTGTAAACCTACTTTTGCCCCACTTTATATATTAAGAAGATATATATATGTGTGTGTGTGTGTATATATATATATATGAGCATATGGAGATGTATGGATATATATTTATATATGGTATAGATAGCAGATACATAGTCTGTATACCTAAACAATAGGTATTTAGAGAGAGTAGTACACTATATAGTGGAGATATACATATGTCATTTATCATTCTCAGGCACACTCCTGTGTGACAACTCTCTAGGTCAGGAGAGACTGTGTTGCTGGCACCCAGAAGCCTCCCTACTGCCCTCACATTCCTTTCCCAAACCCACTATTGGAATTTTCATGGTACCTGTCTCCTTATTTTTCTTTATAGTTTCACATTTTCCTGTGAATTCCTAAATTATAGTTTAGTTTGGTTGTTTCGGAACTTTGAACAAGTAGAATCATCCGGTGTGTATACTTTTGTATCTTACTTTTTTTGGCTCAACATTAAAGTTGTGAGATTATTAATATGTAATGCAGAATGTAGCTGCAATGAAGTGATTTCACAGTTGCATGGTATTGCGAGGCATGACTATATCACAGTGTATTTATCTAATTTATCTGTATTTTTCTATTGATGGACATCCGGCTGTTTTCAGACTTAACGCTGCTATTATGTACTGGGTGGGGGAACTAAAACCCCCTGGAATTTACTTATTAAAAATTGTATAATTTGTGGGGACTTCCGCCAAGATGGAGGCGTAGGTGGAAGCACTGTACCTTCTTGCACAACCAAGTTTAAAAACAACAAAGTTTTAGCAACAAAAACACAGCCAAACCACAGAAAATTGAACTATACAGAAGTCTGACAACAACGAACCCTTCAGCCAAAGTGGAAAGAGGGGCAGAGCCAGCAGCAGAGCGGGGTCAGGCAGGAAAGATCCACCGGACCTACCCGGGCACCTGACCCAGGTGAGCCAGCAGCGGTGGGTGGATCCCAGGTGTGGAGTAGCGGGCGGACCAACTGAGGGCACAAGGCAGTGGACCCACCGAGGGCTGACTACGGTCACACATTCGTGCGCAGATATACCGGTGAAGGAGTGAGCAGTGAGATGGACTGCGCAGGCCCCTGCAGCGGGGAGCAGCAGAAGGCACCGCCATTGCCCCTCTCTGACCCTGCCCCCACATCCAGCGTCACAAACCAGCAACCCGGGTGGCCCTGCCCTGGTGAACACCTAAGACTCCACTCCTCCTACATAACAGGCAAGAACAGAGCAAAACATGGCTCAAGAACAACTCAAAGCCCCAGAGCCGATATATCTAAGCCATGAAGAAATAGCCAAACTTTCAAATGCACAGTTCAAAACACTGGTGATCAGGATGCTCACAGAACTGGTTGATTTTAGTCACAAATTAGACAAACATATGAAGGCTAAACTAATTAAAATTAAGGGAAATGCACAGGAAACCAATAGTAATGGAAAGGAAACTGGGACTCAGATCAAAGGAGTGGACCAGAAGGAGGAAAAAAATGACCAAACAGGAAAGGATGAAGAAACAAGAATTCAAAAACAGGAGGAGAGGCTTAGGAACCTTCAGGACAGCTTTAAACGTTCCAACATACGAATTATAGGGGTACCAGAGAGGGAAGAGGAACAGCCACGAGGGGAAACCTTATTTGAACAAATAATAAAGGAGAACTTCCCCAATGGCACAGGAAATAGACTTCCAGGAAATTTAGGAAGCTCAGAGAGTCCCAAAGAAGTTGGACCCAAGAAGGAACACACCAAGCCACGTCATAATTACATTAGCCAAGATTAAAAGGAAGAAGAGAATCCTAGAAGCAGCAAGAGCTAAGGGGACAGTCACCTACAAAGGAGTTCCCATCAGACTGTCAGCTGATTTCTCAAAAGACACCTTGCAGGCAAGAAGGGGCTGGAAAGAAGTATTCCCAGTCATGAAATCCAAAGACCTACATCCAAGATTGCTCTATCCAGCAAAGCTTTCATTTAGAATGGAAGGGCAGATAAAGTGCTTCTCAGATAAGATCAAATTCAAGGAGTTCATCATCACCAAGCCCTTATTATATGAAATGTTAAAGAGACTTATCTAAGAAGAAGAAGATAAAAAGGATGAACAGTGAAAGGACAGCAAACTCACAGTTATTAAGAACCACACCTAAAACGAAAGCAAACTAAGAGAACAGCTAGATCAGGAGCAGAACCATAGAAATGAAGATCACATGGAGGGTTAGCAACAGGGGAGTGGGAGAAGGAGAAGGGGGGAGAAGGTACAGAAAATAAGTAGCATAGATAGTAGATAGAAAATAGATAGGGGGGAGGGTAAGAATAGTAGGGGAAATATAGAATCTAAAGAACTTGAGACACGTGGTCATAAACTAAAGGGGGGAATGGTGGAGGAGGGCTGTGCAGGGTGGAGGGGAATGAAGGGGGGAAATAGAACAACTGTAATGGCATAATCAATAAAATGTATTTTTAAAAAATGTATAATTTATTCTTACATGTTTAAACTTCAGTCCTCTTCAAAGTCCTCTTCATTTGACGCAATACAACTATCAAGACATTTTTTTCAACTGCTCAGAAAAGTTTTTTTAACTCATCAGTTTTGATGTCTTTGAGTGCTTCTGCTGTTTTTTATTTCACCTCTTCGACAGCAACAAAACATTTCCCTTTGAGGACTTTTTAAATCTGGGGAAGCAAACAAACAAACAAAAATATGTGGCTCCGGCGAGATGGGGTGAATAGAAAGGGTGGGGCACCAGGGTCGTGACGTTTTTGGTCAAGAACCACCTAACGCTCAGTGCAGTGTGGGAAGGTGGGCTCCTAATTTGCCCATCATGAGAAGAGCAAACACGTTGAAAGAGTCTTCAAAAAAAATTCACTAAAGCCAAATATAGCCTCTCACAACCCCAGGTGGTACACTAGTACAGATGTGTTCCCAGAACACTCACCTAGCAGAGGAAGACTGTGTTACAAGGGGTCCACCAACCCTGACTGGGGTAGCTCAGTGGATTGAGCTCAGGCCTGCGAATCAAAGGGTCATGGGTTTGATTCCCAGTGGAAGCACATGCCTGGGTTGCAGGCCGGTTCCCAGAGGGAGATGCATGAGAGGCAACCGTACACTGATGTTTCTCTCCCTCTCTCTTTCTCTTCCCCTCTCTCTGAAAATAAATAAATAAAATCTTTTAAAAAGGGGGTCCACCCTACAGAAGATAATTCTGTTTTGGGGGATCCCCCTCAAATACCCTCTCAAGTTATATGGAATTGCTGGGAATGCAAATATTTAACTTTACTAGATATTTGCCAAACTATTTTCCTAAAGGGTGGGCCTAGTTTACACTCTCATCTGCTGTAAAAGGTCATCTATGTTTTTGTACCTTTGCCCATTCTTGGCCAGGTTAGACTATCTATGGTTAGTGTAGATGGTTGGTGGAATATCACCGTGGCTTTACTCCCTGTTCCACCCACCTTAGGTTTTACTGGGACCTGATCATGCTCTTGCTGATGGTGGGGAACCTCATTGTGCTGCCCGTGGGCATCACCTTCTTTAAAGAGGAGAACTCGCCACCTTGGATCGTCTTCAACGTCCTCTCTGACACTTTTTTCCTGCTGGATCTGGTGCTCAACTTCCGCACCGGCATCGTGGTGGAGGAAGGCGCCGAGATCCTGCTGGCCCCGCAGGCCATCCGCACTCGCTACCTGCGCACGTGGTTCCTGGTTGACCTCATCTCCTCTATCCCTGTGGATTACATCTTCCTGGTGGTGGAGTTGGAGCCACGACTGGACGCCGAGGTCTACAAAACAGCGCGGGCCCTGCGCATAGTGCGCTTCACCAAGATCCTCAGCCTTCTACGGCTGCTCCGCCTCTCCCGCCTCATCCGATACATACACCAGTGGGAGGAGGTGGGGCGGGGAGGTGGGCAGGGGGGCTAACAGTCTTCTCCAGGACAGTGCTATGGGTGGGACTCCTGGCGACTTTATGGGGTGGGCAGATGTGTGGAGCTTCCAAGGGTGGGCTCTCTCCAAAGTTGGTGAGGGAGAAATGGGAAGAGAATGAGGGTTCAGGGGATGGGGTCCCGACGTGAGGATGGTGGTCCAGAGGGTGGAGCACAGCATCTGGACAAACAGTTGAGGGTTAGTTGGACTTTGGGGGGAAGACGTGGGAGGAGAGCTAGGAATTGCAGGGTGTGAAAGAGGCTGGAGTTTCTGCTTTGGGCAGCAGAGTTTCATGGCTGGGAGTGTGGGCTCTGCAACGCCATCGCCTGCGGTCAAATTCCAGCTTTAGTGTTTACTGCGTGAGAGCTAGTTTCCTCTCCTGTAACATGAGAGTGTTACATACACTTACGTGTGATAAGGAGTTAATATCTGCAAAGCACTTGTTCTCGGCAAATTACCTGTTATTATTGGAAGGGAAGAGGGCTGCTGACTTTAAGTCTTCTCCCCATGCCCTGGGGATGTCACACTGTGAAAAGCCACCTCTCCTCATTTCCAGGCTGCACTTTGGCAGCCTGTGCAGCAGCCTTTTCCAGTCTCTGCTGTGACACTGTGATTCTGGGCATATGATTGGCAGCAATTTTCCTATTTATAAGATGAGAGGAGTAACACAGACTACTTTGTATTAGCTATATTTGTGTGCTGGAAAGCTCTAAACAATAATGGCCACTTTTTTTTTAATTCGTGGGGCTGGGAAAATTCAAAGAGAGAATTTGCAAGGCTGGGAATGGAGGAGCACTGTCAGGAAGGGCTCCTGTCCACAGTGGCCCCTCCTCGGAATCCTCAGATCTTTCACATGACCTACGACCTGGCCAGTGCTGTGGTTCGCATCTTCAACCTCATCGGGATGATGCTGCTGCTCTGTCACTGGGACGGCTGCCTGCAGTTCCTGGTCCCCATGCTGCAGGACTTCCCTCCCGACTGCTGGGTCTCCATCAACCACATGGTGGTGAGATCTCCCCACAGCTGTGCCTCTCCTGGGTATTCTAAGGGCTCTTCTGCCCAGTGGTGGGATGACCACAGGGGGCAAGAGGTGGGGGATGCTGTTGAGGTGAATGTCCAAGAGAGAAGACAGGATTGAGGTGGTGGGAAAGTGAGAGGAGAGGGGAAAGAGACCCAGAGGAAGTGTTTGTGTGTTGGAGGGAGCAGACAGAGAAGAAAACCTAGGTAGAAACTGAGGCCCTCAAGCTGCAAAAGATACCCCTTCTGCCTCAGGGCTCCCCAGAACCAAACCTAAGTGCCTCCTTGGAGGTAGATCTGAATGAAGGGGACAGGTAGAAGGACCGAGAGAGAGAGAGAAAGGGCCTGGGGGAGAACAAGGCTCTGAGGGCCCTCTGCCCAGCTGTGTAATACTTTGTTCTCCAGAACCACTCGTGGGGCCGCCAGTACTCCCACGCCCTGTTCAAGGCCATGAGCCACATGCTGTGCATTGGCTACGGGCAGCAGGCACCTGTAGGCCTGCCTGATGTCTGGCTCACCATGCTCAGCATGATTGTGGGCGCCACCTGCTATGCCATGTTCATTGGCCACGCCACTGCCCTCATCCAGTCCCTGGACTCCTCCCGGCGTCAGTACCAGGAGAAGGTCAGCAGGGACAGGACAAGGAAGGGGAGGGCATGAAGGGGTGCTGGAGGCTGGGTAGCTAAACTCGAGGCACATTCTGACGCATACCCTTGTTGGTTCTGTGTCCTTCCTTGCCCCACGTCCATTCGTCCTATGCCCCCGTGTGCACCTTTTTTGTTTGGACCTATACCCCTGTCCGTGGACCTCTCCTCTGCCTGTGCCTGTGCGTTGTGTCCTTCTGTATCCACCATCATCCACTGGTCCTTCTGTGGCCCGGTGTGTCTCCTTTTGTCTCCACGTTTCACTTTTCTGAGTTTGGTCCACGTCTGTGACCTCCCTCCATTTGCATCTGCCTCCACTGTTCTGGCCCCACACCTGCCTCTGTGTCCTTTTGCCTGCTGGCCATTGGCTGGCCCTCTAGTACAAGCAGGTGGAGCAGTACATGTCCTTCCACAAGCTGCCAGCTGACACACGTCAGCGCATCCATGAGTATTATGAGCACCGCTACCAGGGCAAGATGTTCGATGAGGAGAGCATCCTTGGCGAGCTCAGTGAGCCACTTCGGGAGGTAGGACTGAGTGGGGCCCTGGTGGCTCTTCAAGGACCTGGGCTTCTAGGATGCCATCTGGCGTTGAGGATATTGGTCAGCAGAGGGCCCCCGGGAGGCCAGGCTTTGGGGGACTTCCAGGGGTGAAGTTCTTTAAAAAAAACTTTTTTTTACTAATTGATTTGAGAGACAGACAGACAGACAGACCTATTGTTCCACTTATTTACGCATTCATTGGTTGATTCTTGTGCGCATCCTGACCAGGGATGGAATCTAAAGCTGTGGTGTATCGGGACAACACTAACCAACTGAGCCACCTGGCCAGGGCCTTGGAATTCTTACGCCGGCGAAGCGTACATGGGAAGGGGCATCAGGGATCTCTGGTTTTTTGTGAGGATGGTCCTTCAAGGGCTCATGGGAGCGCTCTGAAGGCAGGAGCTTAAGGATGGTCCTAGGCCCCCAGAAGCATCCCCATCCTTGGGTATCATGACCCCAGGGTGGGGCCTCTGGAGCCAGAGTAGCTCGATGAGGGCACCTTGGGACAGAGGGCGCAGCCTGCCTGATGGGCTTCTCCCTTTCCTAGGAGATCATTAACTTCACCTGTAGGGGCCTGGTGGCCCACATGCCGCTGTTCGCCCATGCCGACCCCAGCTTCGTCACGGCGGTGCTCACCAAGCTGCGCTTTGAGGTCTTCCAGCCGGGGGACCTCGTGGTGCGTGAGGGCTCTGTGGGCAGGAAGATGTACTTCATCCAGCACGGGCTGCTCAGTGTGCTGGCACGTGGCGCCCGGGACACCCGCCTCACTGATGGATCCTACTTTGGGGGTCAGCAGGCCTCAGGAAGGGTGGGGGGACTGGAGCAGAGGATAAGGGCAAATGCTGCTCTGGATCAGGGTCCCCACCTGGCCCTGCTGCCTCCCCAGGCCGACTTAATCAGAATCTCTGGGCCTGGGGCCTGCGGCTCTGTAATTTTAAGAAGCTTCTTAAGAGATCCCAGGGCAGAGCCAGGTTGAAAATTTCTGAGCCAGTGGGCCTTTTAGAACCCATAATTGGTGAGCTCCAACGATCCCATGAGGGACGGAGAGTAATCAAGCAGTGCTGTCCCTGGGGGCTCCCTGCTGGTGTGACTCAGGGACCCAGCCTGTTGCACTGGGGGTAGTTCTGCCAGCTGTTGCCTAAAGTGATTTGAAGCTCATAGAATCTCTCGGTCTCCAAACCACACACCACCCTCCAGCATTTCTGCCGTGTTGCCCGTTGCCCTACGGCACTGCTTTTCTCCTTCTGGGCGGTCCTTGGGGTTCATTTGAAGGGGTGCTTCCCCAAGCCCACCCCTTGGGATAGAGCAGCAGAGGTGGATGGAAATCAGAGTGGAGCGGAATGGCTGAGGGTGAGGCCAGGGAGACCTGCCTGATTGTCAGCTTTAACTTCGAGAGTGAGGATGATAACTGTGCAGGTCTGGAGAGTGACAGGCTTGGAGCACTAGGACCCTGGGGTGGGTGAGTAAACACCAGTTTCCCCCACCTGGGGGAGACCCAGAGGACGCTGGGTCGGCTGCTGCAGGCCCAGTGAGAGGGAGTTCTCGGGACAGTGGTTCTGAAGACCTCCTCCCAAATTTGGCAGAGATCTGCCTCCTGACTCGGGGCCGGCGCACAGCCAGCGTGCGAGCCGACACCTACTGTCGCCTGTACTCACTCAGCGTGGACCATTTCAATGCTGTGCTCGAGGAGTTCCCCATGATGCGCCGGGCCTTCGAGACGGTGGCCCTGGATCGACTGCACCGCATTGGTGAGGCCTGTCTGCCAAGCCTTCTCTGGGTCCAACCTGGGCCCTGACCCCTGTCCACAGCAAGAAGCCCCTGTTGTCTTGGGGCCCATGTTCTCCCACTTCAGTGTCGTGCCCTGGCCCACCCCAGTCCCAGCAAATGCCCCCATAGGCCCTTCAACGTTGTAGCCCACTGCCTTTGCAACTCAGCATCTCTTGCCCCTAGAGAGACTGCCCCACAGCCCCAGGCCCCAAGTCCTCCTTCCCTAAGCCCCTGACCTCCACCGTCTCTGATAAGCACTCATCCCTTGACCATCTTCCTGTAACTGATTCTCCACCTCCAGCTCCACCTCCATGCTCTTGGCTCTTATCCCTACCTTCCATTGCTTGACCTTCCAGGTGTTTGAAGGTCAATTCAACCTTTATCTTAAGATTCCTTCACTATCTTTCCCTTCTCCCTCTTGGGACAACCTCTAGGTAAGAAGAATTCCATACTGCAGCGGAAGCGCTCCGAGCCAAGTCCTGGCAGCAGTGGCGGCATCATGGAGCAGCACTTGGTGCAACATGACAGGGATATGGCCCGGGGTGTTCAGGGCCTGGCCCCGGGCACAGGAGCACGGCTCAGCGGAAAACCAGTACTGTGGGAGCCACTGGTGCATGCACCCCTGCAGGCAGCCGCTGTGACCTCCAATGTGGCCATTGCCCTAACTCACCAGCGGGGACCCCTGCCTCTCTCCCCAGACTCTCCAGCCACCCTCCTTGCTCGCTCTGCTCGATGCTCATCAGGCTCCCCAGCTTCTCCACTGGTGCCTGTCCGACCTGGCCCTCTGCTGGTCCGGGGGCCGTGGGCATCCACCTCCCGCCTGCCTGCCCCACCTGCCAGAACTCTCCATTCCAGCCTATCCCAGGCTGGGCGCTCCCAGGTGTCCTTGCTGGGCCCCACCCCAGGAGGAGGTGGGCGGCGACTAGGACCTCGGGGCCGCCCACTCTCAGCCTCCCAACCCTCTCTGCCTCAGCGGGCAGTAGGTGATGGCTCTCCTGGGCGTAAGGGCTCTGGAAGTGAGCGACTGGCCCCGTCAGGACTCCTCGCCAACCCTCTAGGGACAGCCCAGCCCCACAGGCCACCAGTGCCTGGGCCAGCCACCCCTAGAGGCCCCCAGCTCTCTGCCAACATGTGAAACCCTTAGGTAATTCCTTGGGTGCAGTAGTGTGTGCCTGAAGGCAGGTGCGTCTGGGGAAAGCCAAGGATGCCCAAAACACTGCCCTGTGGGAACATCTCCCCTTACTGCCAAGAAGATAGTTTCTGTCCTCTCAGGCACCCTGCTGCCTCCTAACCCATTCACCCATTCATCAGATGTACTGAGCGCCTACCCTGTTCAAGGTACAGTGTTAGTACTGAGTCTCCACTGCCAAATAGAAGAGACTCTAAGCACTCTGACGAAGGTGTTCCCCCAGCCGCGGTCCTGCCAGGTGCAGGCCTGGGCTTGTGATTCCACCTTATTAAGCACAAGTACTTGCCATTGCCATCACTGCCAAGGAACTAGATGTCTGTTTCCCTGCCCGGGTCCGCAGGCTCCACCCGGAGCGTTTACCTCCCAGTCCTCCCAGCACAGCCAGCAAGTTGCCCGTGCCCACTGCTGTCAGATGTTTGGGGTCCCCAGTGTGGGCACCGCCTTCACTGCCGCGTGTAGGCTCCTCCCCGTCTACATCCCCTGAGTGGGAGGGAATATGACTCCTGCCAAGTCCCCTGCTCTCTCTGTCTCTGTGGTAGACTGTCTCTTTGTAAACTGGGAGCCACCTCCTCCCTGTGTCCCCGCCCTAGTGGTGTCCCCGCCCCAGCGGTGTCCCCCTTGAAGCTGAGGGATGTTTGGCGCCTCCTCATTTGGTGTGCCAGCCTAGACCCCCCCAGGAGAGGGGCAAGTGGCTAAATCTTTAGATGGCATGTTTTTTCTTTCCTTCTCTTCCTTATTTATTTATTCAATTATTTAATAATTATATTTATTCATTTGCTAATTTTATTTATTATCAATGCATTTTATTGACCAACGTCTTTATCCATCCCTTCCATCCCCTTCTGGCAGGGAGCCAGGAAGGGGCAACACCCCCGCCCCTCTGCCGGGTCCTGTGGTCCTGGCCCAGCTCCATCAGCAGCAGTCCTGGAACCCTCTTCCTAGTTAGGTGGGGGCAGAAGGGCCATCTGAGCCAGGGGAGGTGGCGGATGTTCTTCCTTTTAAGTTTTTTTCCCTACTGAGTTTGCTGTTGGTGCTAGAGTAAGGAGAGGGCCCAAGGCCCCTGAGCCTACAAAAGGGTGGGCTAGCCAGAGCCCCTGCCTTCTCAGGGACAACAGACCCCCTCCCTCACCCTTGTTGCCACTCCGACTCCACGGCATTGAAGAATGTGGGGCTGGGACCCCAAAGCTTATTTTCTTCTGGGTGGGGACTTCTGGAATACTAGGTATGTGGAGAAAGTTTTATAATTGCTTCCAAATAACTAGGTTTTAAAAAAAATAGAGACACTCATTTCGGCTCCTGGTTTGTGTGCGGAACAAAGAAGGAATTTCTGGGTGCAGGCGGAGGCACCTCACCCCACAAGACACGAGGTGGCCCTAAGAGCGGCCAAAAGTGGCCTCCTGGTAGGAGTTGTGAGACAGTGATGAGATGGGCCCCCCAGGACCCACCTGCCCCACCTGCCCCAGAGGGCGGTGCTTTGATGTCACTGTCAGTTACAATGAAGGAAGAAGTGGCGCTGTCCTTGGGAGAGAATCAGATGACCGTGAAGGCCACACACAAGAACATCAGACTCTATGGATATGAAATATTTCTAAAACAGTGGATTTAAGGAGGTTGGACATGACTGCCCTGTTCTCCTCCCCCCCCCTCCAGCTGTGGGAAGCCTGGGGGAATAGAATTAGCCGGTTAAGCTGGGATTAAAGGCTCAGAGCATCTTAGGGTCCAGCTAAGAGCATTGGGCGAGAGCACTGGAGCTGCCGGACGGCCAGACTCTGCGGGCCTGTGTGGCGAGGGGGGATGGGCGAGCCTGGGAGCAGACAAAACAGACGGAGGGTGTGGGTGGCGTGGAGTGGAGGGATGGGGTCCAGGGCTGGCTGGGTCAGAGGGGGAGGAGCATCTCAGGACACACTCAGCACTCGCATGATGTTGGTGTAGCCAGAGCCAGGTCGCCAGCCTGTCACCACAATCACCAGGTCTCCAATGTAAAGGAAGCCACGAAGCTTTCCTGGGGCAGGGGAAGAAGACAACCACCACCCACTGAGAGACCCAGGCCAGCCCCGTGATGACAGCCAGCTACCACCTTCTAACAGGTAGCGCCACAAGAAATGTGACTGCTGCGTTATATCAGAACTGCAGGTATGTCTGTGGATGGCATGGGGGTGTTGCTAAGCAGCAAATCTGTCCATCTGTGTTGCTAGGCCAGTAGGAAGAGGTGGAGTATGATCATAGCCAGTTTCAAAATAGATTTTTGTTCTGGCGACAGGGGACTAGGTCCTCTTTCTCCTTTCACTTCCTGCTCCTCGTGTCCCACTCGGGCTCCAGTCACCTGGTGCAGGCGACAGCTGGGCTGACTTCTTGGGAAAGATCTTGACCTCTCTCCCTCTACCCTCTTCCCCTCTGCACGCCCCACAGAGCCCAAAATATCTCTGAGTGTTACTGAACCTCACAGTAAATCTGGGACCAGAGGATAGAGGCAAGGCCCTTAGAGTGGGTGTGGAAAGTGGGGAGTGGGGGTCATGATACAAACCCAGGGTGGGTGGGGAGGAAGTCTAGAGGACTCACCACTTTCAATGCCAAATTGAACCCGGCGATCCACATCATCTGCCCAGATGGCCACTGGAGGTTCACGGTAAAGCAAGGGAAAGACTCCTCGGCATAGGTGGGCCTGGCGGGCAGCCTGCGCAGAGCGGGTGACAGCAATGACCGCTGCCCGAGGTCGGTACCGAGACAGAAGCTGGGCTGAGCTGAAGGAGGCAGAGAAGGTCAACCCAGAGAGTGAGAGAGAGCTGAATCAGGAAACCAGAGTTTGGGTTCTGGTTCCAGATGTCGGTGACAAGCTCTGTGACCCAAGTTCGGTCGGTCATATTTTTCTGGGCCTTGGTTTTTCTTGCCTGTTAAGTGGGTATAAGAATATTCCCCTTTTGCCCTGGCTGGTGTAGCTCAGTGGATTGTGCAGGGGCCTGCGAACCAGGGGATCGTGGTTTGATTCCCAGTCAGGGCACATGCCTGGGTTGCAGGCCAGTTACCAGCAGGGAACACACGAGAGGCAACCACACATTGATATTCTCTCCCTCTCTCCTTCCCTTCCCTCTCTAAAGATAAATAAATAAAATCTTAAAAAAAAGAATACTCCCCTTTCCTACCACACAAAAGATATAATGAAGGATACATCATCAAATGAAATAGTAACAAAAAGCTTCTTTGAGAAACAAAACCTTTCTGAGAAGATAATATATAGTACTTACCTTAAAAAGGTCTCTGGTTAATCCTCACAAGCCCATGAGGAAGCATATAGAGCCTGGGTAACCTACCCAAGGTGTCATTTCAGAACAAACACTTGAACTCAGAGCTTCTGGGTCTGGGCCCTTCTGCAACACCTCAGCAGGGTAAGACTTTGTGGGCCAAATGCAAAGGACTTGCTCCCGAGCCCAGGAGCCCAAATGGCCTGGAAGCCAATGCGTCCAATGCTGTGCCTTCCCCTTCTACCCCTGGAGCTCACTGGTGCAGTTCCTGTGTGCTCCAGGTCCACCTCTTCCAGCCCTGGATCTCACAGCTACCTCTCCTCTTGCACCAGAATGATATTCTTCGTCTCCCATGACAAAACATAACCCATAAGCCTGTGACCCATCCCCACCCACCCCTGACCCAAAGGCTTGTCTTGGTGCTCACGGAGTCCCTCTCACCGGCCAGTCGTGGTCAGCACGATGATGGCTGAAGCACAGCACTTGAAGGAAGCTTCCACAGCGCCAATGGCAGTGACTTCAGTGGGATCACGGCTCAGCGGTGCTGCCCGGCGCAGCTCCTCAAACAACTGCCGGTGGTAGACTGCAGCCTCTGCCTCCCGAGCAATCTGCAGGCACCAGGAGGTCAGGCTTGGGCAGGGGCGCTGGGTTTTGCAGGGACTTGGCTGTCCAGCCCATCTGCCTTGCATTATGAGCACCTACCGCATGCTGCATCATTACGGCCTCCACGGGAAATCTGCCTTTGGCAGTTTCCCCTGACAACATGATGCAGTCTGCACCATCCAGCACAGCGTTGGCCACGTCGCTCGTCTCTGCCCGTGTTGGCCGGGGCTTACTGATCATGCTCTCCAGCATCTGGGGGACATCTGGATGTCAGAGCTGTGGGAGCCACACTCCGATCAGGGAAGCTACTTCTCTGACATCCACACTCTCAGAGTGCCCTGAAAGCCAGGATCACAGCCACAAAAGGTGTCATTGTTTGAAAAAGGGGCTCACAGTATCTCTCCCTAACTTCATTGTTTGAGGATCAAACATTGAACAGCCAAATGTGCTATAGAGCTAAGGTGCAGGTGTTCACCCTCAGGTGTCCCCAAAAGCCACAAAGTGCCCCTGCCCTCTTCAGGCTCACTCCAGACCTGTGTGGCACAGACAACTGGTTTGCCCGCCAAGTTGCAACGTCCAATCATCATCTTCTGAGCTAGGAAAACCTTCTCTGCTGGGATCTCGATGCCCAGATCACCCCGTGCCACCATGATGCCGTCGCTCACTTCCAGGATTTCATCAAACCTGGGTGGTTGGGGCAGTCAGGGCTGGGGAAGAGCCAGGAGAAGCTGGGGAAAGGAGATGGGAGAAGAGGAAGAGCTAGGGGGCTGTTAAGGGCCTGACAGGGAACAAAGGCCATGCCTCACTTCTTCACGCCTTCGTGGTTCTCGATTTTGCTAATGATCTTAATGGCCTGTCCTTCTGGACCCAGAGCAGCTCGGACCGCAGCCACATCGCTGGCTTTCCGCACAAAGGAGGCAAAGATGATGTCTACGCCATGCTGCACCCCAAAGCGCAGGTCCCGGGCATCTTGCTCCGACAGCCCTGGCAAGTCCACCTGGGCGCCCGGCAAGTTCACGCCCTTCCGGCTGCCCAGGACGCCGCCGTTCTCCACCTCGGTCTCCAGTCCCTCTGGGCCTGTGGGCATGGAAAGAGCCAGCCTAGGTCAGGGGCGAGGCCGCGAGCAGAGCCAAGGCGCAGGGAACAGGGGCTTGGACCCCTCAAGGGATTAGGAACCGCGTTCCATTCCAGTCGTCCGTCTGCTCTCGGCCTGGGCTCCACACTGAACGGGCACCGGGTGGACTTCTGTGGAAGAAACGACTGCCCCGCCAGTCCAGCCCCAAGCCAGGGTGAGCCCAGGAGTCTGGATGCTGGGGGCTCCCCGGACGAGCTGGGTTAGGACGCCTGCGGGGTGGCGGGGCGGGTGCGCAGGGCAGATGCGGGAGCCCGCGGGGAGAGCGCGCACCCAGCTCCGCGCGCGCGGGAGGCGCGTCCATACCGACTTTCTTGACCACGAGGGAGATGAGCCCGTCGTCGATGTAGATGCGGCCCCCCACCGGCACGACCCTGAGGATGTTGGGGTAGTCCACCCACACGGTGTTCGCGTCTCCTCGCGTCTGGAACGTCGGGTCCACGGTCACCAGCACCCGGGAGCCCTTCACTAGCTCCACTTCCGACTCCGGGCCCTGGGGGCAGAGCCACGACCCGAGGTTGGCCCCTCCCCACGCCCCGCCCCCTGGGCAACTGCCTCCACGCCCTGCAGTCAGTGCCCCGCACGCTGGACCCGCTGGCCCGCACCAGCTGGGCCGGACCGGACCGCCTCTCACCCCCCGCAGGATCCCGGTGCGAATCTCTGGTCCTTTGGTATCCAGAGCGATGGCCACCGGTCGGTAGCCGAGTGGGGAAGCCGCGAAGCTCTCCACCGCCTCTCGGACATTGGCGATGGACTCAGCGTGGTACTGGTGACAGAACCGAGTGGAGATTTCAAGGGAAGGTGGCCAGGACCTCGAGGCATCCTCTAACCCCGCCGCCTCCTGTGGCCCCTTCCCGAACCTCATGTGAGCCATGGGAGAAGTTGAGTCGAGCAATGTTCATCCCGGCCTTGATCATCTCCTTCAGGCGCTCTACGGAGCGAGATGCGGGCCCTGGAACCAGAGAGTTCGCTCAGACAACTTGCTCCCCAAACCGGAGAGACAGCCACCGCCCTCTGAGACACCGCGTGCCACAGAAGTCTTGTTACCTGACCTTTCTTCCCTGACCAATCTCTGTTCACAAGTCAGAAACTACATTCCTCTCTCCAGCCGACACCTTGGGAGGCAGCCCTGTGTGGAGGAGGAGGCGCTTGGAGGGGCGTCCTCAGCTAGGTCTGAAGGAGGTAACTGTGTCTGCAGTGAGGTAAGCGCTGCAGTTTGGGGCTAACCCCAGGGTATGAGCGAGGCACAGCAGGGAGTGGGTACTGGGCTGTAGAGCTGATAGGCCTCATTCTGACTGAGGAGAATTGAGTTGGACCCCATTTCTGCTTGTTGACAGGCAACAAGCTTGTTGACAGGCAACAAGCTTGTTGACAGTTACTCTGCTGTGTAACTGAGAGCCAAGCTCTCCAGCCCCTACCTAAAGCTAATTCTTTCTTTCCTTTTAAAGAGGAGAGAAACATCAACATGCAAGAGACCCAGCCCATAACCCAGGCATGTGCCCTGACTGGGAATTGAACCACAACCTTTTGGTTCACAGGCGGGCACTCAGTCCACTGAGTCACACCATCCAGGGCTAAAGCCAATTCTCCCCCCCCCCCCCTTTATTGATTCTAGAGAGCGGGAAAGGGAGGGAGAAAGAGAGAGAATCATTGGTGTGAGAGAGAAACATCCATCCGTCACTTCCTGCAGTCGCCCTGACTAGGGACTGAATCTCTATCCCAGGCATGTGCCCTGATCAGGAATCAAACCCACGACCTTTTGGTTTGCCAGATGACACCCAACCAACTGAGCCACACCGGCCAAGGCTAAAGCCATTTCTTGTATTTGCACATTAGATCTCCTCCTGCTCACCTGCTCAAAGACAGATTTAGCCACTCTCCAGTCCTCGATGTTATCAATGTTTTCCTTTTAATTGCATCATTCTCATCAGCAGGTAAACCTGCTGTTATTTCTTCCATCAAAAAAATTCTCTTATTCCCAATTCCCCCTCCAGCTGCAGTCCCATTTCTTTGCTCTCCTTAGCAGCAGGACTCATTGTGAGACTTTTCTGCACTTGCTGCCTCCAGTCCCCTCCTATTCTTCGTTCCAACTCTAGTCAGGTGTCCACACCCCCATCCCCTCCACTGCCTCTGTCCTTGTCAAGATCACCAAGAATCTCAGTGTTTTTGCTGAATCTAATGGTCAATTCTCAGTCCGTATCTTGGCTGGCCCATCGGCAGCACTGGACACGTACCTTCCTCACTTGTCCTCTGGGACACCACACTCTGGACGAGCTCTTGCCTTGCTCGCTCTCCTTCTCAGCCTCACTTGCTCCTCCCCGCCCTTAACATTAGATGTCCCATTCTGTCATTTTGTTATCACTCCGTTGATGGTCTCAAATATTTTTATGGCTTTAAATACCATCTATACGCTGACAATTTATATCTCCAATTTTGTTTCCCAAATTTATATCTTCAATTCAGACCTCTTTTCCACACCCTGAGCTGTGTATCTGATTGCCTATTCTGTGTCACACTTGAGTGTCTAATATGCATCACAAAGTCACCTTTCCTCAAACTGAACACCTGCTCTCCTCCCCCCCCCACCTTTCCACAACAGTCTTTCCTGCTCAGCTGATAAAGCATCCTTTTAGTCCTCAAACCTAAAGCCTTGGTGTCATCCTTCACTCCTTTTTTACCCTCACCCTACCCTACATCCAATCCATTGGGAAGTCTTTCAAAATGCATTCAGAATCTAAATACATCTTTTTAATTTAAATTTTTATTTTTTAATTACAGTTTACATTCAGTAGGATCTGATGATTTCTCATTACCTCCACTGCCACTACCTGGTCTGACCTAGAAATACTGCAGGAGCAGCTTCTGCGCTTCCTTCCAAACCCACCTCCAATCTATTTTCCATATAGCAGCCAGAGTGGTTCTGTAAAACATAAGTAAGAGCGTGTTGTTTCCCCGCTCAAAACTCTCCCGTAGTTTTCCATTTTAGTCGGAGGAACCCAACTCACATTCTAAAAACTCTACCAAGTCCTACATCATCTCACCCTCCCCTGAAATTCCTACATTTTCCCTACTCTTCTTTCCCTTGATGGTTTCTGACCATCCCAGCCTTCTTGACTTGCTTGGGGTCTTCATGCCAACCATTCCTTCTGCCTGGAGCACTCTTCCCTAGACGTTTGAATCCATCATTCTCTCATCCCATTCAAATCTTTGCTCAGGTCTAATTTTTTAAATAATGGCTTCTCTGATAGTCTGTGATTGTAGGACTGCAGATCACTTCTTGCCCTGGCATCTTTGACGACCTTCAGCATGCTCTATTGTTTTTTCTTTCATAGTATTAACCACTTTCTCTTATTATTAGTATTATTGTTATTTTTATTCTCACCCAAAGACTTTTTTAATTGCTTTCAGGGAGAGAGGAAGGGAGAAGTAACATCGATATGAAAGAGAAATGTCAGTTGGTTGCCTCCTATGTGCTCCTGGACTGGAGGTTTGACCTCTAGCCTTCCAGTTACTGGATGATGCTCCAACCTCCTGAGCCATACCAGCCAGGTCAATAGAAGGAGGACCCCCCAAAAAACCAGAATGCTCTTCTGGATGGCAGATCTCTTGTAGCACCAACTTCCCCTGCTGGGTGAGTATTCTAGAAACACATCTGTATCAGTGTACCACCAGGTGTTGTCATGACAGGCTGTGTTAGGATTTAGTGAAATTAAAAAATATATTTTATTTATTCATTTTTACAGAGAGGAGAAGGGAAGGAGACAGAGAGGGAGAGAAATGTCAGTGTGTGGTTGCCTCTCACATGGCCCCCACTGGGGACCTGGCCCACAACCCAGGCATGTGCCCTGACTGGGAATTGAACCAGTGATCCTTTGGTTCATAGCCTGGGCACTTTGGTTCACTGAGCTACACCAGCCAGGGCATGAATTTTTTGAAAACTCTTTCACAAAATTTGCCCATTTCATGATGGGCAATTTACAAGTGCACCTGCCCACATTGCGCTGAGTGTTCAGCAGTTTTTGACCAAAAAACACCATGACCACCATGCCCCAACTTCCCTATAAATCCAAATCATGCCCTCAGCTACTTTTTTGTTTCCCTGGATGAAAAAAATGTCCTCAGAGGGAAACGTTTTGCTGAGGTAGAAGATATGAAACAAAAAAATGGTAGAGACTTCCAGCCAAGATGGAGGCACAGGTGGAAATACTGTACCTCCTTGCACAACCAAGTTTAAAGACAACAAAGGTTTAGTAACAAAACGCAACGAAAACAGACAGAAAATTGAACTGTATGGAAGTCCGACGGCAAGAAACCATTCATCCAGACCGGTAAGAGGGGCACAGGAAAAAGTGGCCGGTGGACCCAGGTGCTCAGGCGGTGGTTGGCAGATCCCAGGCATGGGGTGGCAACAGGTGGACCCAGTGAGGGCACAAGATGTCTGGCTGACCAGGGTCACACATTCACACGCAGATAAACTAGGCAAAGAAGTGAGCAGTGAGACAGACTGTGCAAATCAGGTATCCAACGAAGGGAATTAAAGCCAAAAAGCACCAGCTGGAAAAACTTTCAGGGGTTGAGGTGCTGGGAGAAGCTCCCAGGCTCACAGAGAGTTCATTGGAGAGACCCACAGGGTCCTGGAGGGTACGCAAGCCCACACACCTGGGCACCAGTACCAGAAGGGCCCAATTTGCTTGTGGGAAGTGGCAGAGGGGGCCGAAATCCAAGTGAGAGCAGAAAAAATACCATTGCCCCTCTCTGACCCCACCCCCACATACAGCGGTAACTACCCAGCCACGTGGTTGCCTCGCCCTGGTGAACACCTAAAGCTCTGCCCCTCATATATAACAGGCTCGACCTTACCAAAAAATTATGATGCAAATGGAAGAACAGATCAAAGCTCCAGAAATAATACAAGTAAGTGACCAAGAGATAGCCAACCTGTCAGATGCACAGTTCAAAACACTGGTGATCAGGATGCTCACAGAACTGGTTGATTTTGGTCGCAAATTAGATGAAAAAATGAAAGCTACACTAAGTAAAATGAAGGAAAATGTACAGGAACCAATAGTGATGGAAAGAAAACTGGGACTGAAATCAATGGAGTGGACCAGAAGGAAGAAATGACCAAACAGAAAAGAATGAAGGAACAAGAATTCAGAAAAATGAGGAGAGGCTTAGGAATCTCCAGGACATCATTAAACGTTCCAACATCCAAATCATAGAGGTACCAGAAGGGGAAGAGGAAGAGCAACAAGTGGAAAACTTATTTGAACAAATAATAAAGCGGAACTTCTCCAATCTGGCAAAGGAACTAGATTTCTAGGAAGTACAGGAAGCTCAGAGAGTCCCAAAGAAGGTGGACCCAAGGAGGAACACACCAAGGCACAGCATAATTACATTAGCCAAGCTTAAAATGAAGGAGAGAATCCTAGAAGCAGCAAGAGAGAAAGGGACAGTCACCTACAAAGGAGTTCCCATCAGACTGTCAGCGGATTTCTCAAAAGACACCTTACAGGCAAGAAGAGGCTAGAAAGAAGTATTCCAAGTCATGAAATCCAAAGACCTACATCCAAGATTGCTCTATCCAGCAAAGCTTTCATTTAGAATGAAAGGGCAGATAAAGCGCTTCCCAGATAAGGTCAAGTTCAAGGAGTTCATCATCACCAAGCCCTTCTTATATGAAATGTTAAAGGGACTTATCTAAGAAAAAGAAGATAAGAAAGATGAACAGTGAAAGGACAGCAAACTCACACTTATTATTAACAACCACACCTAAAACAAAAGCAAATTAAGCGGATAGCTAGATCAGGAGCAGAACCATAGAAATGGAGATCACATGGAGGGTTAGCAACAGGGGAGTGGGAGGAGGAGAAGGGGGGAGAAGGTACAGAGAATAAGTAGCATAGACTGTAGGTAGAAAATAGACAGGGGGAGGGCAAAAATAGTATGGGAAATGTAGAAGCTAAAGAACTTATGACACATGGACATGAACTAAAGGGGGGGAATGGTGGGGGGAGGGGTGTGCAGGGTGGAGGGGAATGAAGGGGGAAATGGGACATCTGTAATGGCATAATCAATAAAATATATTTAAAAATAGGCAGAAACACTTAAAAGGCATCAAAATCAACAAGTTCAAAAACCGTTTTGAGCAGTGGAGAAAATGTCTTGATAGGCGTATTGTATCAAATGGAGAGAACTTTGAAGGTGATTGAATGAAACATGTACGAATAAATACACAACTTTTTAATAAATAAATTCTGTTTTTGGGTCTCCCCTCTTATTTATCGCTTTCTAACATACAGAGTAATTTATTGTGCTTATTATTTATTACCTCACCTGGCTAGATTGTCAGCTTCCCAAGAGTAGCGATTTTTGTTCATTTCACTGATCTACTACTCCAAAACCTTATCTACCAAGTGCTCAACAAATATTTGCAGAACGACACCCTGGCCCATGCGGCCTCTTTGGTTGGGCAATTCTCCCACAAACGGAAGGGTCCGTGGTCCAATCTCCAGCCAGGCCATGCGCCTGGGTTTCCTTCAGCTCTGTCCTGTGGGGCGCATATTAGAAACAACAGATTGTTCTCTCTCCCTTCCTCTCTCTCTAAAACTAAATAAATAAAACCTTTAAAAATTTTTGCTTGAATGAATGATTCATGAAGTCTCAAAGGAGACAAAAGAGGAGGAAGCACCTCGAAAAGCCCTGCAACAACAGAAAAGCCCTGCAATGCTTCAGGGGACGGAGGGTGCTCACCTATGGTGGCAATGATGCTGGTACTTCGAGCAGCCACGGGCTCCGAGTCGATGTCCAGCAGGCAGAGGTGTTCCAGGAAGGTGTCTGCCATTGCCGCTGACAGCTGCTGCCTCTGGAAGAAGGCCGTGCCCACCTCCTGGGTCAGTTGGGCTACACTGGCCCGCCGCAGGTACCCCGCTGGCCCTGCAGTAGAAGGGGACCACATAGGCACCTGGCTCTCACCACTTTATCTCGCACACCCTCTATTCCTTCCCTCAGCTCTCCAGTTTTTGTGGAGTTCTACTTATGAACTGGGCATTATGCATACAGTATCTTACATAGTCACAAGGATCCTATCAAGCAGGTACGGTTAAATGCTCTACGATCATCCTCATTTTACAGATAAGGAAAGAGAGAAGTTGAGAAAGATTAAATAAATTGCCCAATATCATAAAGCTTCTCAGTAACAGAGATGGGATTCACACCCCGGTCTGACTAACTCCAAGCTGAAGTCCAGCTATCTGATCCCCACACTGCCCAACTTCTTGCCCTTTGGCTGCTGACTCCCCTCTGCCTCAGCCTCTGCCTCCGCCTTGATAGCTCATTATTCAGGCCCAGAATCACCCAGTCCCCTTTCTAAGGTCCCTGTTGTTGTCCTTCCAATTGCTGGATTTTCCATCCCCTCCTCTGAGTTTCCTCAGCTCCTTCAGTTTCTATTTCACCCAGGTCCCGAGGTCCTGCAGCTTGGCTCAGCCCAGAGGAGCCGCTCTGGCCATACCCTCCATGCTGCAGTACGCCGGCTGGGCTCTGGTGATCTGCTCCACCCGTCAGGCTGCCCCACTGGGGCTGAGGCCCCGCTGGGCTGGCGATCAGTTCTGCTTACTGGTTAAAGTGTCACCAGTGTCTCCCTGTCACTGAAAGCCCCTTGGACCAGGGGTCAGAGTCCAAGAATCATGGGAGTGCCCCATGGCTCCCATGCTGCGGGTTCTTCTCTGCCTGGTAGAAGAGGCCCAGACCAGGGTTCATAATTTAACACAGAGGAGACCTCAATGAATAGAGACCCTCCGAAAACTCCTCCTAGACAGCAGATATGCATCTTTTGCACCCTCCACCCCCCACTTCTGATTCTATTCTCATCTTCCTCCCCCCTTTAAAAAAATTTAATGTATTAATTTGGGAGAGAGCAAGAGAGTGAGCTGTTGTTCCACCCATCAATGCACCCATTGGTTGATTCTTGTGAGTACCCTGAGAGGGGATTGAACCCTCAACCTTGGTTCTTTGGGGCTGACACTCCCACCTACTCAGCTACCTGGCCAGGGCTCTTCCCCCTCTTTTCACTGACTTCTGTTGACCCTTCTTACCTCCTGGAGCCCCAGTTAGAATGGACTTTGCTAAGTCCCTTTGGGACTTGAAGATCCATGACCAAAGCTGTTGGGGTTTTGTGTTCTCATTCTCCTGGATCGACATGCTCCCAGTGTGTGGGCTGGGGCTGCCCAGAGTGCAGGGAGAGGAGGAGAGGAGACAAAACTGCTGGTCTTATCTAAAAGAGCCAGAGAGAAGAAAAGGGGCACACCCAGTAGGCTGCCTCTGTCTCCACACAGAGTCCCTTCCCCAGACCTACTGGTTCTTTTCCCTGCCTTCTGGCATTCCCCCCTTGTTCATATTTGCTGGTACATTTTTTTCTTTTAAAAAAATTTATTTTTCAATTACAGCTTACATTCAATATTATTTTGTATTTGTTTCAGGTGTACAGCACAGTGGCCAGACAATCATGTACTTTACAAAGTGGTCTCCCTGATATTTCCAGTAGCCGCCTGGCCCCATACACAGTTATTGCAGTATTATTGACTATATTGCCTCCTCTGTACTTTACATCCTTGTGACTATTTTAACTACCAATTTGTACTTCTTAATCCCCTTGTGTCTTCACCCATTCCCTTATAACCCCTCTCATCTGGCAACCATCAAAACTCTCTTCAAATCCATGATTCTGCCTCTGTTTCTGTTTACTTAGTTTTTTTCACATTCAATTGTTGATAGGTATGTATGTATTTATTGTTCATAGTTTTGATCTTCCTTTTCTTAAATAAATCCCTTTTAAATTTCATATAAAAATGATTTGGTGATGATGAATTCCTTCCATTTTTTTCTTGTCTGGGAAGCTCTTAATCTGCCCTTCGATTCTAAATGATAGCTTTGCTAGGTAGACCAATTTTGGCTATAGGTCCCTGTTTTTCATGACTTTGAGTATTTGTTGACAATCCCTTCTGGCCTGCAAAGTTTCTTTTGAGAAATCAGCTGACAGTCTTATGGGGACTGTCCCTGTAGGTAAGTAACTGCTTTTTCTCTTGCTGTTTTTAAGATTCTCTCTTCATCTTTAACCTTTGCCTTTTTAATTATGATGGAGTGGCCTCTTTGCGTCTATTTTGTTTGGGACTCTCTGTGCTTCCTAACCTTGCACGTCTATATTTCCTTTACCAAATTAGAAAAGTTTTCCTTCATTATTTTTTCAAATACAGTTCCACTTTCTTGCTATTTCTCTTCTCCTCTGACACCCCTATGATGTGAATGTTGGAATGCTTGAAGTTGTCCTAGAAGCTGCTTACACTATCCTAATTTTTTAAAATTATTATTTCTTCTTGTTGTTCTGATTGGTTGTTTTTTTTTCCCTTATGTTGCAAATCATTGATTGGATTCTTGGCTTTATTCACTCTACTATTGTGTTTTTGTAAATTGTTCTTCATTTCAATTAGTGTATCCTTTATTTCTGACTAGATTTTTTTTTAAGGAGGTCCTCACTAACTTCCTCAAGCATCCTTATAACCAGTGTTCTAAACTGCATCTGATAGATTGCTTATCTCCATTTTGTTTAGTTCTTTTATGGGGGTTTGATCTGTTCTTTCATTTGGGCCATGTTTCTTTGTCTCCTCATTTTGGCAGGCTCTGTGTGTTTCTTTCTATGTATCAGGTAGAGCTGCTGTGACTCCCTGTTTTGGTAGTGTGGCCTAATGTAGCAGGTGACCTGTAGCGTCCAGTGGCACAGCCTCCCCTATTACCCAGGCTGGGTACTCGAGGTGCACCCTTCATGTGGGCTGAGTACACCCTCCTCTTGTAGTTGAACCTTGGTTGCTACTAGCAAGTCAATGGGAGGGATTTACTGTGGGAAGTCAGCTGCAAGGATTGGCTGTGACAACTGACCACCAACCTCTGCCCTCTGTGAAGGATCAGCTGTGCAGGGGCAAGGTGGTAGTGCTCTAATGTGGTCTGTAGCTGTCCACTGGCTGTGCTGGCCCTGAGGTGTCCCAGGTGGTACAGGCCAAGGTCAGCCCCCACCTGTGTTTTGTCCCGGGGACACCCTGCCTGAGCTATAGAGCAATCTGAGATGGCTGCTACTTGTGCTGGGCTTGAAGATTCCCAGGAAAAGCCAAGCAGTGAATCTAGGCTGGTTGCTGCTAGTGCCATGCCTGGGGCCACTTGGCAATTGGTAAAGGCAGTGGGGGCTCACTGAAACTGGCTTTGCTTGTTTGATAGGAAATTGTGAAACATGAGTCAAGACTAGCCATTCACTTCCTGGCTGGTGTAGCTCAGTGGATTGAGTGCGGGCCTGCAAACCAAAGCATTGCTGGTTTGATTCTCAGTCAGGGCACATGGCTGGGTTTTGGGCCAGGTCCCCTTTGGGGATTGTGCAAGAGGCAACCACTCATCAATGTTTCTCTCCCTCTTTTTTTCTCTCCCTAACCCTGACTCCCTAACCCTGACTCCCTAACCCTCTCTCTAAAAATAAATAAATAAAATTTAAAAATACCATTTAAAAAGTTTAAAAGAAAAGATTAGCCATTCATATGGAAAAGCCACTGTTAATAGCTACAAGTTGGGTGAGATGGAGCCTCGGGAATCTCCATGGAGGGGCAAAGTGTGTTAGTCGAGTTGATGGAGTCTCAGGCACGGCACCGGCTTGCTGGCTGTGTGGCTCTCTGGGGGCACAGTTCAATAGGGACAATAATGGCCTCTGCCTACCTTTCAGTCTGGGACACAGCTGTTCTCCAGCTCTAGCATTGATTCAGGCACTTCACTTCCTCCCTGTGCGCCACTGTTGCCTTTCAAGCTGCTGCCCTAGTGCTTGAGCTCAGAAGGAATGAGTCTGGGCACGTTCACGTGTAGAGTCTTTAAGAGGAAATGCTTGGGACTGCAGAAGTTTTCTTCCACTGACTCAGTTTCTGCTGGTTCCTGCAGCCGGAAGTTATGGTGACTCATTTTCCTGGCACTGGAACCCTGGGCTGGGGGTCCTGGTGTGGGCTGGGACTTCTCGATCCCGAGATATCCTTCCTGAATTTTTGTCCACCACATGTGGATGTGGGACCAGCCCATTCCTGGTCTTCACCCCTCCTACCAGTCTGGATGGACGTGGTTTCTTTAATTCCATAGTTGTCAGTCTTCCATTCAACTAGATTCTGAGTGATGGTAGTTATAGTTTTTTCTTTTTTTGAAGATTTTATTTATTTATTTTTAGAGAGGGGAAGGAAGGGAGAAAGAGGAAGAGAAGTATCAGTGTGTGGTTGCCTCCCAAGTGCCCCCTATGGGCACCTGGCCCACAATCCAAGCATGTGCCCTGACTGGGAATCAAACAGAAGACTCTTTGGTTCGCTGGCACTCAATCAATTGAGCCACACCAGTCAGGGCTTAATTTAGTTATAATTTTGATGTGGTTGTATGAGGAGGCGAGCTGTGTTTACCTATTCTGATAGATTTTCAATCCATTCACAGTGTCCTGTCATCAACTTGAATAGATTTTTTTTTTTCTGAGTATGGCCTTTTTCTTTGTACTTACTGAAGTTAGCCTAGATGAATTTGGGAAACAAAGAGTTTAGGGTAGGGCCTGGAGCCTGAAGGAGGAGTATGGGAAGTGCTGTGATATTGTGGCGGGATTTTCTCGAAAGGCTCTGATAGCATGCTAACATTCACTGCCATCTGCTCATTGACCACTCTCTGATACTCACTGAGTGCCCGCTCTGCCTCAGGTCCTGCAGATACAGTGGTGAGCAAAACAGACAGGGCCTCGTCCTTCTATGGAATCTATAATATGGTAAGAAGACAGACTATAAACAAGTACCAAACAAATAAATGTATACCTACAGATCGTGTAAGTGCTATAATGGAATTGATTAGGGTGCTGGAAAAAAGAAGCCTGTGGGAGAAGGGAGTGGAATGTATTTTTATTTATTTTTTATTTGTTTATTTACTAACTTATTTATTTATAACAGGAACAGTATGGGGCTTGAGTTTCATCAAGTTAATCCACCTCTATATTTTTTATTTTTAAAAAAGATTTTATTTAGCCCTGGCTGGTGTGGCTCAGTGGATTGAGCGAGGGCCTGCAAACCAGAGGATCGCAGTTCGATTCCCAGTCAGGGCACATGCCTGGGTTGCAGGCCAGTTCCCAGCAGGGGACGCATGTGAGGCAACCACACATTGATGTTTCTCTCCCACTCTTTCTCCTTCCCTTTCCCTCTCTCTAAAAATAAATAAATAAATAAAACATTTTTGAAAAGATTTTGTTTATTTATTTTTAGAGAGGGGAAGGGAGGGAGAAAGAGAGGGAGGGAAACATCAATGTGTGGTTCCCTGTCTAATAGGGACCTGGCCTGCAACCCAGGCATGTGCCCTAGACTAGGAATTGAACCGACGACCCTTTGGTTTGCAGGGCAGCACTCAATCCACTGCGCCTCACCAGCCAGGGTGACCTCTCTTTTTTTTTAAAGGATTTTAAAAATTGATTTTAGAGAAGAAGTAAGTGGGCAGAGACGGAGAGAGAGAGAAACATGGATTTGGTATTCCACTTATTTACGCGTTTATTGGTTGCTTCTGGTATGTGCACTGACCAAGGATTGAACCCACAACTGTGGTGTATTGGAATGATGCTCTAACTGACTGAGCTATCCAGCCAGGGGAGGGCCTCTTTAAAATGATTATATTTAAGCTGAAATTTGAAAGATGTGACAGCACCAGTGGGAAAAATTGGGAGCAAAGAGTTTTCTGAGGGGTTGTGAATAATATATGCCAAGGCTCTGAAGAAGAAAAAAGCCTCTTGCTAAGGAAAGGGAAAACAGAAATGAGGTCCTACATCTGGAGTGGAGGGGTGTGGTCTTTGGTGAAAGTGGAAAACTTAGCAGGGCCTTGGAGGGCACCGGGTTCACTCAGTGGAGTGACATGTCCCAACTATTGCTCTAGATCCCTCTGGCTGGTAGGATCTAGAGGTGGCGGGTGGAGAATAGAAAGTAGACACACAGAGACCAGAGAGGGATTTAGGGATAATCTAGGTGAGAGGTAATGGACTAGCGTAGTGGCAGTGGACATGAAAGGAAGACAGATTTGAGATGCACTTTGAAGAGCAGACAAGGTAGATCGACAGAGACATGTAGGGAGAGGGAGATGGAAGCTTTCATCTAGTGAAGGATGGCGCTGAGGAGCCTGGCCTGACAGTTGGGTACAGGGT